GGTTATTAGTAGTCATAATTGGTTGCACTTGGATCCTTGGCACCTGTGTGTCTATAAAGTCATCGGGTAGATTTCATTATTTTTATGTTATATGTATGGGATTTTGTCTAAATGTCTAAGTATACCATGTGCATGCAGTACATGTGGAGGCCAAAAGAAGGCATCAGATTCCTTGGAACTGGAGTTATGGACAGTTGTTAGCTACCATGTGGGTACTGGGAACCAAATCTGAGTCCTCTAGAAGAGCAGTCAATGCTTTTAACCACTGAGACAGTTCTCTAGCCCCAAGAATTATAAATACTTAAAAGAAAATAGAAGAGGAGCTAGAGAGATGGCATAGTGGTTAAAAGCACTTGTTGCTCCTCCAGAGCATGAGTTGGTTTCCCAGCAACCATGCCAAGTAGCTCTCATCTGCCTGTACCTCCAGCTCCAAGTGACTGAACATCTTCACATCTTCTCTGGCTTCTTTGGGCTCCCATACACACAAGGCATTCACTCACATACAGGCACATACATATAAAATTAAATAAATAAAATTTAAAAAAAAAAAGAAATGGGTTCTTAGATATGAAAACAAAATCAATTAGAGAGAGAAAAAAACAAACAAACATAAACCAGACTTCACAGAATTCCTCTAAAAGGCATATCAAGAAAACAAAAAAGGGGGGCTGGAGAGATGGCTCAGTGGTTAAGAGGACCCTGGTTCAATTCCCAGTGCCCACATGGCAGCTATGAACCATCCTTAACTCCAGTTCCAGGGGAATCTGAAGCCCTCTTCTGACCTCCATGGCACTGAACGATCCGGGTGCACTCACAGGCATACAGGCAATACACTCATACACATAAAATAAAAATGATAGATAAAATATTTTAAAAAGCCAGGCATGGTGGCATACGCCTTTAATCCCAGCACTTGGGAGGCAGAGGCAGGCGGATCTCTGTGAGTTTGAGGCCAGCCTGGTCTACATAGTGAGTTCCAGGCCAGCTGAGGCTACAGGGAGACCGTCTCAAAAAGACCAAAAAATAAAAATAAAAAATTTACAAAATTAAAGAAAAAAAAGGGAGTGAGCATGGTGGTATGCATCTTTAATCCTAGCACTCAGGAGACAGGCAGGCAGATCTCAGTAATACAATTAGAGGCCAGCCTGGTTTACATAGTGAGTTCCAGGCCAGCCAGAGTTACATAATGAGACCATGTCTCAAAAAAACAGAAAAAAAAAAAACCTAAAAGGGAAACCTGCAGAATGAAAGCATGTATTTCCAAATTATACATCTGACAAAGGTCTAGCATCTATAATATGAAAGGAACTCTAAAAAATAACAAAAAGATAAACCTAACTGAAAAGTAGGAAGTTAGCCACAGCTATATACACAAGTAGTTCCTGCTGCTCAGAAGGCTGAGGCAGGAGGATTACTCAAGTCCAGGAGTTTGAGGCCAGCCTGGTTAACAAAGGGCTGGACAATATAAGGAGAAGCTAATTATTTTAAGGATTCATCAAATCCACAACAAGCTGGGCATGGTGGCACATACATGCCTTTAATCCCAGCACACACAATAAATACATGCCAGCAAAACACATAAACTAAATTTTTTCTACTTATTCAGTTTTATTTTAAGTGTATGAGTGTTATGCTTGCATGTGTGTAAGTCCACCCATGTCGTGCAGTGCTCTCAGAGGGCAGAAGAGGGCATCAGAACCCCTGAAACTGGAGTTAGACAGTTGTTAGCTGCCATGTGGGTGCTGGGATTCAAATCCCAGTCCTCTGCAAAAGCAGCCAGTGCTCTTTACCACTGTACCATCTCTCCAGACCAAATTTTAAAATTTTTAATTAAAAAGTTTAATACTTGAATTTCATCCCAACAATTTTTTCTTCTGTCTTTTTGAGACAGTGTCTCCTTGTAGCCACAGCTGGCCTGGAACTCACTATGCAGACCAGGCTGGCCTCGAACTCACAAAGATCCGCCTGCCTCTGCCTCCCAAGTGCTGGGATTAAAGGCATGTGCTACCACGCCCAACACAAATTTTTTTTTTTTTTTCAAATAAACAAGTTCTTAGCTTCTAGAAAAGTAGTTCTGGCTGGGTGTGGTGGTACACACCTTTAATCCCAGCACTTGGGAGGCAGAGGCAGGAGGATCTCTGTGAGTTCAAGGCCAGTTTGATCTACACAGTGAGTTCCAGGCCAGATAGGGCTATAGGGAGACCCTGTCTCAAAAGACCCCCCAAAAAGGGAAATAAACCTTTTTTTAAAATGTCAAGTGATTCTGAATACAGCCAAACCTGGGCACATTACTTCATTACTGCCCATCACTGCTCCCTACGTAAATCAGGCTGGTGTTTAACTCACAGAGATCCACCTGCCTCTGCTTCCAGAGTGTTGTGATTAAAGGTGTGCACCACCACGCCAGGCTACACTAAATTTTTTCTTTTAATCATATTTTAAAATTTTCACGATTTTAATTAAAAAAAATTTAACGCTTTCTGAAAGATAGTAGAAAATTTATAATGTCCCATGCAATAAATCCTAATGTGATTTCTTGAGCTTTGTTACTTGATTCCTAATTAGGCACAAATTACAAGCTCTACTAAACAGAGAAAAGAATAATTTAATTTAGTCAAAGAAATAAAATATGTAAATGATCAAAAGAAATGAAGCACAAAAATGCTCCCATTCATTTTTCTCTCTAAAAATATGTTGCCATTTATTTCACTATCTAATAGCAATCTCATTACCAAATAAAGATAATGTTGGTGGGCCGGGTCTGGTGGCACATGCCTTTGATCCCAGCACTTGGGAGGCAGGGGCAGGTGGATCTCTGTGAGTTCAAGGCCAGTCTGGTCTACATAGTGAGTTCCAGGACAGCTGGCACTACAAGGAGACCCTGTCTCAAAAAGACCGGAAAAAAATAAATAAGGTTGGGCATAGTGCTGGCTACTTGGGAGGCTGATGCAAGAAAAAGTTCAGGGGCTGGAGAGATGGCTCAGCAGTTAAGAGCAATGACTGCTCTTGCAGAGGACCCAGGTTCGATTCCCAGCACCCACATGGCGCCTACATACTGTCCTTAACTCCAGTTCCATGAGAATCCAAAGCCCTCTTCTGACCTCTGTGGCATTGCAGGACACGGGTGCACTCACATACATGCAGGCAATACACTCATACACATAAAATAAAAATAAAGAAGAAAAGAAAAAGTTCAAAACCAACGCTGGCAATATGTATGCAGGGAGGGAGGGAGAGAGGGAGGGAAGGAAAGCAGAAGGAGGCAGTGAGAAAAGTAAAGGAAAAGAACACGAAACCTATTGCTAGTTCCAGAATTAAAATGTATTTCCTGCTCGTGACATATCAACAAAGCAACGGCTTCGTTTGTTCTTCTTTTGTTTCATAGGCTGGCCTTTAGTTCCGGGGCTCAAGTGATCATCTTGCCTCAGCCTCTCTGAGGTAGGAAGCAGACTGTAGGTGAACTACAGACAGGTGCCACATCACCTAACTCTCCCTTATAATTCACTTTTTTTTTTTTTGAGTAATAATGAGTAAGATTTTATTTGAGTTGCCCTACCTGTGAGATTTGTAATAAGATGTGCACAAATATACTGTCTTAATAGAGATTATGAAGCCAATGAAACTCAATATACCTAGTTCTGAGCACATAATAAATGTAACCAGCAAACTGTACCTAGTTCTGAGCACATAATAAATGTAACCAGCAAACTGTACTTTTTAACTGTACTTTTTAGCTGGGCCTGGTGGCGCACGCCTTTAATCCCAGCACTCAGGAGGCAGAGGCAGGCAGATCTCTGTGAGTTCAAGGCCAGCCTGGTCTACACAGTGAGTTCCAGGACAGCTGGGGCTACAGGGAGACCCTGTCTCAAAAAGACCAAAAAAAAAAAAAATTTAAATTCACAAACAGAAAAGTAAAAACGTAACCTTTTGGCCTATAACCATATCTAGTCAATTGTAACCAAGGTACCATCTTTTAAAAACTATTTATTCACGCCGGGTGTGTGGCGTACACCTTTAATCCCAGCACTTGGGAGGCAGAGGCAGGTGGATCTCTGTGAGTTCCAGGCCAGCTAGCTGGTGGAAGACCCTGTCTCAAAAAGACCAAAAAAAAAACCTATTCCTGTTGACCTGGGTATAGTGGTGCATGCCTTTCATCCCAGGCAGAGACAGACAGATCTCTGTGATGTTGAAGCCAGTCCTGTCTGCACAGCAAGTTCTACAAGCTAGGGGTACAGGGAGACCCTGTATTTGAAAAAAAAAAAAAAAAAAAAAAATTGTTCCACTAGTCTAATTCCAGCACAGTTATGATTTAGCTCAAAGCTAAGTATGTTTCAACCAACAGTTCTAGAAATGCTTCCTGCAGGCAAATGACTTGTCCAATAGAAGAACCTCACCTTGGATTTATTTCAAAAGAGGCTCTCAAATGCTCAGCAGCAACTCCTGAAAGGAGACCAGTCCAAATGTAGTAGGATAAATCCCCCCAAAAAGCTGAATCTTTGATCATATCAACAGGTGACCCTTGCTGTAAAGTTAGAGGATAGGTACACAAATAAATTTATATGACTTTATTAAATTTTTTAAAATGCAAATGCAAATTTTTTAAACTCTTAGCAATGAGCTGTAAATTAAAGTCTCAATCTTCCATTGAATATACATACTATATGTTATAAAACTACCTTCAATTTAAAATAATTAAACCCAAGACTGTTAAGTAAAAGAGCAAAAAAATCATAAGTACTCCTCTGTGATTGGATATACAGGATATTGAGTGTGTGTAAGGGACTTGTTATGAAATGAACACAGATCCTGTGCATGCTAAGCAAATGCTACCACAAAGCTACACCCCTCCAGCCACCAGGCTACTTTTATGTGGTGCTGGGAATCCAACTCAGCCTTGAACTGGTGAAGAGCTCTGAGATGGATACCTAGCCCCAGGCTATTTTGAAAGAATTAATCTGGAAAATAAATCCAAAGAGAAATTTATGATGGATGTCTCTTACCTCATAAATGTTGGGGTGCCACATTTTGGTCAAGAATCTGAAGGTAGGTGGTGAATATGGGTAGTCAATAGGAAATTTAATATGTGCCTGGAAAGAAAAAAGAAATATACTAATAAATGAGACAAGTTATTCATCTGCCTAATAATTCATCCTATCATACCCCAAAGAAACAAAGCTCCTTTCTATAGAACAGGCTCCAGAGAATAAGTCATTTATAGTGTCAAGATCATTAGCATATTCTTTTAGCACCTCTGAATATCTTTAAGTCTTTGTTAAATCACCCAAATTCACAGCTATTATCATTTTAACTGAACTCACAGGAATGAAAGATAGATATGCCCTATGTTTGGTTGTTGCTTGTTCCCAGTTCTATGAATGGAAACAAGGGCCTTTTGCATACTAGGTGAGAACTCTACTATTGAGCTAATTCTCAGTCTCTACTATTGTTTTGTTTGTTTGTTTGTTTTTGGTCTTTTTGAGACAGGGTCGCTATGGAGATCAGGCTGGTCTCAAACTCAGATCCTCCTGAGTGCTGGGGTTAAAGGCATGCACCACCGCGCCCTGCCCAACTATTGTTATTTTTATGCCAAATCAAAAATAACAAAAACAACAATTAATATGGTTTTATAGTAGAGGATACAGAATATATTTTTCCATTTTATTCACATCATTTTAACATTATCTCCTCACTCGGGAGAAAAATAATAACCTTACTCTAGGGACCAGCAAGATGGCTCACTGGGTTAAAAGGTGCTTTTCTTTTTTCTTTTGGTCTTTTTGAGACAGGGTCTCCCTATAACCCCAGCTGGCCTGGAACTCACTATGTAGACCAGGCTGGCCTCGAACTCAGAGATCTGCCTGCCTCTGCCTCCCAAATGCTGGGATTAAAAGGTGTGCACCATCATGCCTGGCCTAAAGGTGCTTTTCACCTGATGACATCAGTTCAATCCTGGAAGCCACACTAGTAGAGAGAACCAATTCCCACAGGTTGACCTCTGACTTCTACAACGGTGGCATGGGACATTTCCCCAACACTAAATAGTTTTTAAATTTTTATTTTTAAAATTTAAAGTTTATTTTTATTTTATGTGTATGAGTGTTATGCCTGTATGTGTGTAAGTGCACCCATGTCATACAATACCCTCAAAGGACAGAAGAGGGTGCTGGAACCCCTGGAACTGGAGTTATGAACGGTTGTTAGCTGCTATGTGGGTGCTGGGATTTGAACCCAGGTCTTTTGCAAAAACAGCCAGCTCTTAACTGCTGAAGCCAACTCCCAAGCCCCTTTATTTTTTTTTATTTTTTTAAATTTTATTTTATTTTATTTTATGTGTTAAAGTGTTATCACCTGCATGTAAGTGCACTGTGTTGTGCAATGCCTGCTGAGGTCAGAAGAGGGTGTCAGAACCCCTGGAACTGGAGTTATGGATGGTTGTTAGCTGCCATGTGGGTGCTGGGAACTGAACCCGGGTCCTCTGAAAGACCAATCAGTGTCCTTAAGCACTGAGCCATCTCTCCAGTTTTTCTTTTTTTTTTTTGTCTTTTTGAGACAGGGTCTCCCTGTAGCCCCCAGCTGTCCTGGAACTCACTATGTAGACCAGGCTGGCTTTGAGCTCACAAAGATCCACCTGCCTCTGCCTCCCAAGTGCTGAGATTAAAGGTGTGTGTGCCATCACGCCTGGCTCCAGCCCATTTTTAAATTAAAAAAAAAAAATGTGTGTAAATATATTGCCTGCATGTGTCTAAGTGTACCCATATCATGCAATGCCCACAGAGGTCAGAAGAAGGCAGCAGACCCCCTGGAACTGAAGTTAAGGACAGTTGTTAGCTGCCATGTGGGAGCTGGGGACTGAACCCAGGCCCTCTGCAAGAGCAGCCAGGCAGTTCTCTTAACTGCTGAGCCATCTTTCCAGGCCCATTTTTAAATGATTTTTTTGTCTTTTTTTTTTTTTTTTTGGTCTTTTTGAGACAGGGTCTTCCTGTAGCCCCAGCTGTTCTGAACTCACTATGTAGACCAGCTGGCCTTGAACTCAGAGATCTGCCTGCCTCTGCCTCCCAAGTGCTGGGACTACAGGCATGCGCCACCAAGCCCAGCTTAAATGATTTTTTTAAAAAACATTTTATTATTTTTATGTGTATGCGTGTATTGCCTGCATGTAGGTAAGTGCACCCGTGTCATGCAATGCCTGCAGAGGACAAAGAGGCTGTCAGAGCCCCTGGAACTGGAGTTACGGACAACTGTTAGCTGCCATGTGGGTGCTGGGATTCGAACCCGGGTCTTCTGCAAGAACAGTCAGTGTTCTTAACCGCTGAGCCATCTCTCCAGCCCTTAAATGATTTATTTTTATTTATACAAGTGTTTTGATTGCCTGTATATATACTGGTATGTGTGCAGTGCCCTTAAATTTAGGCCAGAAGAGGGTGAAAGAGTGCCATGTGCTGGGACTTGAACCTGCTTAAGTCTTAACCCCTGAGCCCCTTAAAACTTATTTTTAAAAATCTGATAGCAGGGGCTGGAGAGATGGTTCAGCAATTAAGAGCACTGACTGCTCTTGTAGAGGACCTGGGTTCGATTCCTAGCACCCACATGGTGGCTACGAACCATCCTTAACTACAGTTCCAGGGGAATCTGAAGCCCTCTTCTGATCTCCATGGCATTGCACGACATGGGTGCACTCACATACATGCAGGCGATACACTCATACACATAAAATAAAATTAATACAATACATTAAAAAAATTTAAAAATCTGATGGCAAAGCTGGACCTTGTGGCACACGCTTTTAATCCCAGCACTTGGGAGGCAGAGGCAGGTGGACCAGCCTGGTCTACATTGTGAGTTCCAGGCCAGCTGAAACATAAACATACAATATTTTTACTCTATGTTTGTCTACATCAGATTATAAACATTTTCCCTAATTATAAAATATTTGTGGTAGAGCAGTTGTCTAGCCTGTGTGAGGCCCTAAGTTCAATTCCTAGCACTGAAGGGCAGTGGAGAGAGTGAAGGGGAACAAGATAATGATTCATGTGTATGAAAATTTCACAATAAAACATTTTTTAATGAATTTTGAAAAAACCTACCAAAAACATAAACATACAATATTTTTACTCTATGTTTGTCTACATCAGATTATAAACATTTTCCCTAATTATAAAATATTTGTATGCTGGGCAAGCCTGGGCTACATAAAACTGTCTCAAAAATGCCAGCCATGATGGACACACCTGCAATCTCAGCACTTGGGAGATAAAGGCAAGAGGATCAAGAGTTCAAAGTCATTCTAAGCTACACAGTGAGTTCCATGCTAGTTTGTGCTACGTTAGACCTTGTTTCAAAAATAAATAAATGCTTATTTTGGCAGCACGTTTACTAAAATTGAACACAGACAAGATTAGCATGACCCCCCTGGAGAAGGATGATAGTCATAAAGCATTCCATTTTTAAATGAATTTTTGCCATTTTCACACAATCTATTTTGATTATATTTAGATCCTCTTCCCTATCCATTCCCCCCTTACAACACCCCACCCAAATTAATGTACTCTATGTATATACATGTATCATATATATAACATATATATATATGCCTACAGAGTCTATTTTGTGTCCCCAAATGTCCTTCAGTGCATGAGCCTGGCTAACCTACCAAGAGTCACACCCTTGTAAGAGACTGACTCTCCCCTCCCAGTAGCCATTGGTTGCCAATAGTTCCTCAGGTAGAGCTGGGGTTTCTTACCCACTTCCCTGCTTTTATGCTGGGATTTCGTCTGGTTGGAGCTTACAACATGTGACTTTTGTATGCTGTAATCGTATTTTTTGAAACTATGAATATTCACTGTATGTATAATTATCAGCACTTGCATAAGTTTATTGTTATATACAAATGAACTTCTTTTGAGACTGGACATAGCTAATATAGCCTGGTCTACATAGTGAGGGGCTATAAGGAAGCCCTGTGTCAAAAATAAATGAATAATATAATAAAACAAAGTAAAATAAATTTAAATAAACAAACAGGACAGGGTGAGATACAGGTGGGGGAATATGCTGACAGGCACTGGAGAGAAATAATGGCCTGGAGGTTGCTCAAAGCTTATTCCCCCAGAGAACCGTCATCATCTGACATCTCTGTTTCCTAGAAGACTCCAGCTGCAGAGCTGTGCAGTTCATTTGATTTGGAGAAGGACCTTCATGCAAACAGTTTCCCTAGTAGCTTCTGTTGAAGACAACTGCCTAAAATTGTTTAAGTTCAGAGATACCTGACACAGAGGAAACATATACACAGTGAATGTTAAAAGTTTGCCCCAAAGCATACATGCATACATGCACACTTCACAAAGCCCAGGTAACTCATTAGTTCCACAAAATCAAGGAAATCCGTTCAATCTTCAGCCTACACTAAACTGAGTTAATTATTGGGTCACACATGATAGACACAAACTTAACAAAATAGGTTAAAATAGTCACTAAGCAAGTTAACAACAATTTTAACAAGCATATTAAATATTGAATAAAGTTTATACTGTAAAACAAAGGCTGGTAAAATAGCTTTGGGGGTATATAAAGGCACTTGCCTGATGACCTAAGTTCACTCCCCAGAATCCACACAGTGGAAAGAGAGAACCAACTCCTGAAAGTTGTTCTCTGACCTCCATGTGTGCATTGTGGCATGTTCATGTCCACACATAAATAAATGTAAAAAAAAAAAAAAAAAGTACATTGTAAGACATGAAAAGAAACAAAACAGCCCACTAACTGGAGCGGAGGGTAATCAACTGAAATTAGAAGCCTAACGGAATTGACTAAAGATATATATATGTAATGTTAATGTGTATGTGTGTGGGTATGTGTAGGTGACTGAGGAGGCCACCTGGAGTTACAGGTGGTTGTGGGTTGCCATGTGGGTGCTGGGAATTAAACTCTGGTCCTCAGCAAGAGCAGTAAGCATTCTTAACCATTTGGCCAGCTCTTCAGCCCCTACTAAAGATGTTGAATCAGCTATTTTAAACAGGACTATAGGAAACTGTGTCTACAGGACTGAAGGAGTCAACCATGAGAGCACATGCCACAAATACAGTTCTTA